CTGCCTGCAAATATTTTTTGCCCGCCCGGACCCATGGGATTTGGGGACAAAACTGCGGGTGCTTCTATATCGGTGAGGCGACCATTTCTGCAGGATCCCTTAAAATCGGTTTGGGACAAAGTCCCCAATGCTCCTGGTCTCGTCAGTGATCAGGTTGACTGTGTTTGGAACGTTGAACTGGCATTGTTGTCTGCGGTTGCTGACATCGTAAGGAAGTACGACCGGAGCGAAGTTTCATAAGTAGCAAAGAACGGACCAAGGTGTAGAAAAATCAGAGAGTGCACGAGCAGACGGTGCTTGGTACCGTGCACTGTGGGTAAGTGAAAGAAACCACCCGACACTCGGTCATATTAGATATACGCGACAAGGTACGGTGTTCAGCCGCTCCTATTCTCTGACTTGGACTTGACCGAATTCGTAAGCAGTAATGGTGCATATTCTCCCACCTAGAGCGTGCATTGCGAGGAGGGGGGGATTGATACTCAGGTTTGAAACACGACGCACTTTATAGTTGGCGCATGGGATCATTAGCTCTCGCTTTCAGCCTTTCGATATGATCACAAAGGTACGATGATCATATCAAGGAGACTCCACCATATTTGGGGGAGAAAAAACGCGAGAAGTTACTGTACGCGAGCCCATGGGGACCTCGAATCTCCTGCTCGTTCCGTCTCCGACAGGAGTGACCAAATCATGGTCTCGGGTAGACGTTCAAATACCTCGTCGGCAGAAACAAGGAGAAATCGTGGATGTGTGACAGTCTGCAGGAGTGATGAACATTGGTATCAATAGTGCCACGCGCGGCGCTACAAGAATTTACGCGAACCTGGGGCGAGATGAGTCACTGGCTCATCGTGGCCTATGCCATTACTCATGTCCGTAAAGGGCTACCAGTGCGATCTCTCGACAATGCGCAAGAAATGCTTGTGAAGATGGCCAGATCTTTGCCACGCATCAAAAGGACAGCCTCTAACATAGCCGCACGCATATAGCAAGTCAACTTGCTGGTACTGGCTCAACTCTCCTTCGTTCGAAGTTTCGAGGGCACACAACCATCAGATGAACGGAAGCGTGATTGATTCCAGTCTCCATTATGTGGAGCACAGCAATATACTATGGAATACATAAGTCATATATGAGGGAACGATGATAAGGCTATAGCACTTATTTCAGTAATGATGAAATAGAAGATTACAGATGAATCCCAGCAGTGGGAAGTAATGCAGATATCACGCGCTGGAATTGATCGAGGAGTCGTGTCTACAGCAATTCTCGAGATCGTTTGATGCGAGGGACAGCTTTTTCGGGCTTCAGGGTGCAGAAAAGAAAGTGACGGCGAGGACCGGTAGTAGCTGCGGCTGCTACTGCGGCAACACGCGCACCAAGAGGCGCTACGTTAGCATCGCTGCGGATGCCTAGAGAGAACATCCTGTCAAAGACTGAAAAGCAGTCAACTAATACGATTCAAAAGAAAGAGCGTAACTCACGAGTTGCATTGAAAGCTTTGGCTGTTGTCTGGCATGTAAGGTGCGTAAGGGCGAGCGGTGGACTGACACCCTCTAAGTTTCTTAAATAGCGATATACCATAGAGGGTTGACAAGGACCTAAGGATGTGTTGAGCATACAGTATGTATGCGCGCGATGCCAACCCACCAAAACGGAAAACGGCATTGTATGCTTGTCTCCATTTTTCTTCGAGAAGACGAGCACAAATAGCAGAATCAGGGCAGGTGGCGCACTAAGAAGCGTCAACAAGATGATCGCATATCCGACGGGGACTTACGCATTGATATTCCTTTGCAAGTGGAGTTAACCCCAGTTTAAGCACTCGCTCAAGAAACCAGTTTCTCCTGTAAACAGCACCATAAGATCAGATATGCATCATCATCATCCAGAAGGCCCACCGTTTCTCTAGCTTCAGTAAAGTCTCTTGGCTAAGGGTGCTAAGCTCTTCTTCGGACCACCCGCCTGGATTGTCAAGTACGAAGCGACTTGACTCGCGGTAGAGTTCTTCTTCCTCAAAAAGTTCTGCAATACGCATGGCCTTTATAGGTTTTCCGGCGGCGTGGGTCAGAAGGAAAGTGAGGCATTCCTGCTGGAGTGTTGGAACACAAAGCTTGTGGGAGATATTCATAAGGCCTTCTACATTCTTCCAAGTTATGGTGCACTGGAGACTGAGAGAGGATTGGTTTCAAGGGTAGCCAATGAAGACAATACTCACTGAGGGTAGACAAACTTCAGGAAATCGTGAAAGGTGTTAGCCTACACGAAATAAGCAACCTGCACGTGTAATTCTGCTCCGAACTCACTTTCTCCTCTTTGAGAACTATGACAGCGTCATGACAATTAGTACGCCGACGCCGCTTGACAGTTGCATGTGCTGTCTGAGACCCGCGTCTAATCGATGGTCTATCATCCGTTCGCTGCTTCCCTTTCGTGTCACGGCTTGATAAGGTCTCTCCATTATTGGTTGTACCCTGCAACTTTGCAAGACTGTTGTCGCGAGCACTGGCCTTGGTGTCGACTTCGCCATCCTCGCTGCCACTCATACCACTGTCGGTATCGCTCCTCGGGGGATTTTCGATTTCTACGGGTGACTCGGTATCAGATGAATCCTCGCGTGTGAATGTCATTTCCGTGGGCGTCTCGACAATGCCTTTCTCCCCTGGAATGGAGGGGGGCTGCGAGATAGTGATAACTGAGGACATTGACTGTGGTCTTCCCGTCTCGGCCCAGCTACCACTCAGTGCAGCCTCAAAGAAGGGTGACGCAAAGATAAGGACTTCTTTATGCGCCCTAGACTCATGGGTGGATATTTGCACGTAAGCCGCAGTAGTTCGTGCCACTCACCAGAAAGTGGTGCCTTCAACCACAATCTTGACGGTTCCAGGAAATCTTCCTTTGCGAGTAAACGTGTCGTCGATCTCTATGCCTTCCTCAGAGTCATACAAACTCAGTTCAGTGACCAAATCGTCGGTCTCACATTCTTCGAGCAACCATGGAGGTGAGCCCGAGGAACGGAATATGCCTGAAGCTGCTGCATGAGTTTCTGTAGGTGAACTAAGGGAGGCTGATGGATTGATATTGTTTGGCCCTCGTGAATTTCGCGCAATTAAGATGTGTGAAGGGTTCGTTGTCATCGTGGTCAGTGCAGAACCACCCAGCAAGTACACTGACGTGACTGACGAGGTCTGGTCGGCTGATGCATTCATGCTCCGGCTGTGTCCACCAGTGTCCGCGCTTTTCCTTTTTCGTTATTACTCATCATGATCCTTGGAACACACGTAACGTTAATCCGCATTTACGTTGTTTTCATCTTTCCACCTTCAAGCTGTGGAACTTTTGAGGCCTGAGCCTGAGTTTGGAACCCACCTACTGACTTCCAGTGGCTTCGGAACGTGAGTCGTTATGCTACTTTTTTTGTACAAACTATTTCTGGTTGATTCCTGGGTAACGTACATCTTATCGAAAGTATCATTGGATTGATGCTTTGATTCATTGTGTAGTATAGAACTTTCATGTACAGCTTAGGCTTGAAGCAGTCCGCTCAAGAGCTCAAGCAGCTAGTCCTGTTTTGTACCAGAAATATGATACCAACTTCTTTAAGCTCAACTATTTTTGATGTCTTAAAATTCGGACTAGCTTTATTATCTATGGGTCACCTAATCAACCTTGCACCCATAGGTCATGATGCATCACGTAAATTGACCCACACGTTCCACAATATGATCTTCACAGTCCCTTTGTCACGACCCTAACATCGATATGTCGAGCTTACCCTCTGGTACTACCCGCCTGTGAGTGCAATTTTTTTTAAACAAAACAATTACTGTCCTTTGCAGAGACGTACTCTATGTAGGACAATTCATTCTATTTAATAGAACTCAATTTGTTTTCAGGGTGTGGAGCGTATCGTAAAACTGTGGGAGGCATGTTCGGCCCGGATACTTCGTATCCAAGGGGGACGCCCGTGTCGCAGTTGCGTCAGCGGCTGTCAGCCTCTGCCAGCTCAAGGCCTCATGTTACGCTGGCTGGAAACTTCCTGCATCAAATTCGTAGCGGCCACGGAGTTGTTGATCCTACAAATCAAAATTTCCAGATTACGAAGGCATGTACCGGCGGTCATTGCATCTATCTGCGTAGCCAAGGGAATGGTGACTTTTGACGTTAGTCTCCAAGTCTCAATCTGCACTGCATCCTCAACATGCACAATCGCGTTGGCTGTCACAGTTGTTTATGTTTGTCAGGTCGACCTCATATGGATACGGGTCCAGGACGGTGATTATTGCACAGGGGAGACCAAAGCCTCCCGTGTCTGTATGCTTCACCAGAAGATAGAATACCCTCCCCTTGCTCCTGACCTAGATGATGATGATTTCATGGCCTCCACCGCTCGCAATTCGCCTGCCATCTTCTGATATGACAACGGACCACACTCAGTTGCTGTGTCCCTCGAATGTTGTTATAGCAAATACTGCTTTTACATGCGGTACACGCACCCGAGCAGCGATTAATGCATCTCCCCGGTCCGTGCTAATTTAGTCTCTGTCTGTCTAATAAGCCGCCATGAGATTGCTCAGTTCCTCCCTGTAGACGAGAGGTTTCGATGGTTATCAGTGAACATATAATACAAATGCGCCTTCAAGTCATTTCAAGCTACCCATCGTCGTTCTTGACGGTGTCATGATTTTTTTCCCCACAGGAGTAATGATTCACATTGGCAAATGTCTCCTTAAATGAGTAAATTAAGTTTTCGTCTTGATGATGAAAAAATGGAGATAAAAATGGTACCATTTCAGTCCATGGAGATTCAGAGAAATTAGATGCAGCTCCAGAAGGCATACTCTCCGGTGCCATGCTGAAGACTTACTACTAGTACATCCAACTTGCCGAGATCATTATGTACTATTTGGATGCAGCTGGCATACCAGTCTCGTAACTCCGATTAATATCGGTGCTTGAGTTAAGTACTGCGCGTGCGGCGTATCAGAATAATCTACCGACGAGCCCAAGATGAAACAGTTTTGGATAAGGCATCAGATCGTCAGCTACACATTACGTCATGCAAGTGTCGGCTAACTGAGTTTAACCAAACGTTAAATCTATTGGTTATTTTTGGCTGTGGACCCACGGGGAAGAAAGGGGATACTGGCTGCGGAATAAGAGAACACTACACTGGTTGTACTCTGATATACGCGAACGACCAGGTGGACGACACTGACTGCGGATCACACACGTTGAACGTGTTCCTGGATGTTTCTAACAAGGTAAATGTTACGCCCATTGATCCTTCGACAGATATAGCCACGTGTACTGTCAATTGGACTTGCGGACTCCTGCAAGATCACTCATCGCCTTTTGTATTTCCAATTTCTCCATCACAGCTCGGTGCAAACTAGATTTATTCTTGTTCTTCGCTTTCGTGTGTGATGTTTCCTCGGTAGGACTGGAAGATGATGGCTCCTGTTGTGTAGTATCAGTCTTAGACTCCTTTGTTGTTGTTGTTGTTATGTGCGAAGGAACTATAATTGGCGTGTGTCGCGGAGGCGGAGGCCACTGGGTTCCGGATGAGTGACTGTCCGACATGTCTGATAAAAGCATAACGTACACCACGATTTGGCTGGTTGAAATGTAAAGCAGCCCACGGGGGATAATCCTTCTCGAGCTGCATGAGATGGTCCTCAAGCAGTCGGAGGCGAGACAGGAGCGTTCGTGGTGGAGCAGGGACTACGTCTCTTTTTAACATATGCCGTTCATATAATATATCACAGACCTACCGTAGCGGACGGCAAGATGTTCTTCGATATTCTTCACCCGTTGGTCCGTTGCAGGTTGTTGATCGCCTTCTGCGTCATCATGTAGCGCGAGAAGCTCTTTCTGTCTGCCCTTATCGCCGGCGACACCTTTCATGGTTCGTCGGAGAGGTCCATCTTCATTCTTCGCAATATCATATTTCATCTGCACGTCGCGGTCAAGGTGCTTTGCATCTGTCCGTGCACATGAAGGTATAGGCTCGGTGCTGTCTGGATCAAGGTTTAGCCGCCGTCGCTTTTGAGCGAGAGATTCGAGAAACTCCGTGCGATTAGAGACATCGTTCCTCGCGCGATTTTGCGCGAGGAATTGGGATATTGACCTTGTTATCTGGAGTAGATTAGAAGCTGCAACAAAGGTCAAATGGACAGGAAACTTACCGACGTCTGAGACTGGGGCTTGGCACTACCAGAGAGATGAACATAATCGAGCTTTCGCTCCTCCAGTGGTCGTTCTTGGAGCGTTTCGTTGCCTTTCGGTTTCCCCAAGTTCTGGAAAGGAAACTAGTTTGGTAAATAGCGCAGAAAAGGGGCGAAGCGCACACCATGAGATCCTTCATTAAATCTCCAATAGCACCAGGAACCTTCTGCCTTTCCCAATCTGCATTCATAACTACCATATCATCCTCAAACCCCCTCAAAGCTTGATTCATCCCAACCTTCTTCAAGAACGACCGTATCACCTCATCCCAATGTCGATGTAACTCGGGCTCTGGGGTCGGTGAACGCGGTTTTTGTGTAACCTTGGTCCTCTGACGCGGCTGGTAGGTTACAGCAGGGGGTTGATATTGAGGATAGGGAACCTGAGTGTAGTGTGTCTGCTGCCCTGGTACACTACCGGACGCGATGTACGGGTAGGAGGGAACCTGCCACGCGTTCTGCCACCCACCAGGCGTGTAGCTCATCGCGTAGTAGCCTTGAGGATTCTGCCCTTGAGTTGCAGGCCCATATTGTACAGGCTGAAGCTGCGAGGAAGGACCTGCTGTTATAGCCTGTTGCGAAGTCGTACTAGACGCTGGAACAGGGACTATATGGGCCGGCTGTTGTGCTGACGTTTCTGACGGTTGTGAGGGACCTGCTTGGGAGGGTGGAGGACCGTTTGTCATGGCGCTGTCACGGTAGGTTCTTCTGTCGTAATCTGTCGAAGAGTCACAGTTGAAGCAGCTGTTCTGCAAGTTGGTGCAGTGGTCAGTAGCCCGTTTTTTGGGATACCGTACTAGGGACAAACGTGGTTCTCAGTTTAGATTTTGGACGTGACCTCTAGCTAGTACAGTACAGGTACTATGTTTTGCTACTCCATCAGCGTTCCATATATAGTAGTATGCTTCTCTTCTCTTCTCAAAACATGGCACCTGCTCCGAACATACAAAATAGTATTCAACGTGTTCGAAGTGCAAAAGGCTTGGTGCAGGCAAACATGTCCCACCCTTTGTAAAACGTTTCAACCAACATACTATTAAGTTTTCGTTCCCTTTGTGCTTGCTCTCACGTTGAACATCGATCGGTTCGTTTTCAGCACAGTGAACGAGACGCGACGTTCAAATCGGATTCGTATCAGAGAAGTTTTATGAAATATCACCATCACAGGAACGCGCTACTTGTATTCGCATTGATAATGTAAAGGCGTCTCAGAACGCGCTTACAAAAGTTTCTGAGCGCGTTTGTGTTAAATTGTTCTGTCAGTGACATACCAATCGAATTGATCTATAACATCATCGTTCAAAATTCCCTACTATCAACCAGCTCTTCTTCTATGTTCAAATTTCTTTGCACTTGCCTCAACAACTCCAAGTGCCTTCGGAATCACGCTCGCATGTGCTTCTCGATCCGCTGCGCTCATGCCTTCGCTCCTCACGGATCACCGATGAAGCACCCCAACCTCAGCAACGCCCGAGGCCGTCGGTGTTACGTCCACACGTAGTCCTCGGCCGCCCATGGTCGTTCATCCGCTCGCCGCCCAACGCCAATGAAGCAATACAACTCTCAGAACGTCCAAGACAAAGTATCTCCTATCGTCGAAGTCCTCATGTTGTCAAAGTTGTTGCAAATCGAGATAACCATGTATTTTTTTCTCGGATGTGTCCAATTTCTGGGATCTTATGATTTCTACACAGACACTGCATGTTGCTCCGCGGTTAGTGCGGGCGAATGGCAAGGTGAAATGCATCAGAGATCCGACATAGTGGACTCGTTTTGTGTTGTTTGTTTGCTGCGTATCTATTCGTTATACCAGAGACGCAGTGCGTGGACAGGTTTTCTATTTTTCAAATAGTCTCTTGGTTCCTTTCATTGTCATCCCGTTCTAAACACCTTCCGCTACCAGAATATTGCGACTTGGCCCAGTACTCGGTGCGCATTGGAGCCATTTGATAGGACACAAGCAACGCCATGAGACCGAGTCGAGAAGCATGTCGTCGGTTTATATAATTCACCAAGAGTGACCATGGCAGATGAAAATTGTTTGCTTGTCTGTCAATGGTGCTCCTGACCCAATTTCCACGAGCATACCACCTCAAAAAATTGTTTCAGAGCTTCATCGTGTTCGTTTATGGGTCTGGTCAATTGGGCCTGTCCACACACACCAGCTGACACCAGTCCCGGATCTCCAACTCTCCGCATTGTCATCCTGTTCGTTTACGGGTCTGATCAATTGGGCCTGTCCACACAGCACCAGCTGCCATTTTCGGATCTCCAGCTCCCTGCATTGTGATTGTGGGGGAATCGATCTGCCACGTACGTTCCCCGATACGGTTTTGGACTCAAGCTGCCTCTGCTTCTGACCTGGAGCTGTAGGATTTCAAACAATTGTCATTCTCCAAGCTTATTTAGGTCTTATGACACTTTTCTCATTCCCGGAGTCACTGACTCACTGCTGTACTGTCACCTGATCCCCAATGCACCAATCGAGTCATGTACAACGCATGTCGGAGCTTACAACTCCACACATTTCGTTTGGAACAGCTGCAGAACAAGCATGTGTGCTACCAAAGGTTGAAGATCGACGCTGTGGAGCCCTCCTGGGATGAAATTTTTGTGCAAGTGTACCCAATTTTTGGACACCAAGTCGAGATCCCATTGACCTATCAACATAAGAGCTTTAACATATATACAATACACCATTCTGAATCTATTCCAGGTTGATTCCAGGTGTTTCTAGAACGAACAGCACCAATGTGGTAAATCAGAAAATCACGCCTGGTTGAGTCTCCGCTTTGTCATTGCATTCGGCAGAATCGGCAGACACTAGTATCTGTTCCTTTGAAGACCTTCCTGTAGCATCAATTGGAATAATAACCACTCAGCGTATCCTGATCTTTATTGCTAGGTATTTTAAATTTGATTTTGAGCTGTCCATGGCGTTGTTAAATTCATTCGCGAGCGCTATAATACCATCACATTGGCCGAGGACCGAGGTGCCCAGCGTGACAGCGTGACAAAATTGTGCATTTCCATTGTAGATGCCTTTATGGAAATTGTTGCGGGAGATCTTACTGGTTGGGTTTGTTACATAAATGAAGCCAACCATCTCTTAGTGGCGTTTTTGTGCTTCTTGTCGCCACTAATTAATGATGGCTGTAGTATACTATGGTCCTGTCTCCAAGTCATCGCCTCACGTATAAGTACTGTTATAGAATATGTTTCCTCTAGGGCGATGATAAGTCATACTTCGGCAAGTATGTGTACCAATATATCTTTGACTGTTGCCCGCTCCCAAACGGTATCTGGATCATGTACGTCAATGGGCCCCCCTTCCCAGTCTGAATTCATCCCTTTTGGTATGGCTCCCCGTCGACTTACAGCCCCGCAAACTGCGCTGCTCAGAATTTCATCCACAGGCGAGTCCCTTACCCTGACACGATGTGACACCACTCTCGGAAAAATCCTCGCCACATCCGCCTCTGACACATCCAGTTCTAGCGGTTCCTCATGTTCGATGGGTGCACTCCGTGTGCTGCGGCGAGTATGCACGCTAGTCACGTCAGGTACATCGTATGGCAGTGCGGAGCCATCTATAAGCGCTTCAAAGCTCTGGGTGTTCGTGCTAGACCGGGGATACCCGCGTTCGGTACTGTCTTCATCAGTGCGCTCTGGATCATTGATCGATGCTTCCTTAATTAACTCTGCCCCTGTTTGATCGACTCCGAGCACCCGAGAAGCCCGCGCGAGGATCTCCGCGTCTTGACGTGCACGCGCGGTGAGCATCATGGCGTCAAGCGCACCAAGATGCCGCGTGGCAGTAAACAAATCTGCGAGGTATATTTCTAGCGGCGGGCGCATGCGAACTTCGGTGGCACAAAGGCTCTTTAGCCTTGCCAAGAACGTGGCAGGTATTATGGGCGTGGAGTTGTTTGGTGGAGGAGGGGTCGGCGGGCCTGACATAGCCATGTTAGGGAATGGATACCCTGGTATTGAGGGCGAAGATAGGGCTGTGGATGATGTTGACGTGCGGTGAGGTTGATAATTATGCATCGCAGCTCGTGTGGATAGCTGAACATTGATGGGTGTACTCATAGCAAACCAGTCGAGCTGGAACATATAAGATGACACATGACACCGTATAGAAGGTACATACCAGGCTGTTATATATAGGTGGTCTCTCATGTGGATCTAAACGACATACGTAGACCATGATAAAATCGTCTGGCAGATCAAGCTGCAATTCTGATTCGATTTCTGAGTGGTTATCCGACACGACGAGTTTCTTCTCTGCAAGAGTCCGTAAGACAGCACGCTGCGCAGGTAAACTAGCATGTTCTAATCCAGAGACGACAATTGCAGATGGTATCTTAAGCATATCTGAGTTGACATGTGATGTACGACGGTGATGGATCGTCACATTGCCACCAGAACCAATATTGGGTACGGAGGGTTCAGTTTGGAGGCTTGACATCCGTCGGGTTTCTGTGAACGGTCCGCCATCAGCACTGGCAGTCGGATCATCAGAGGCCAGTTGCGAGGTATGCTGAATGGGTCGCGTAACATCACTTGAAAATGACATAGACATAGGAAAAGAAGACTTCCTGCTGTGCACTGTCACGGATGAACGATGGTGCCTGTGCTGGGGTAACACCGAGCCATCGGCGGCGATGACAGGTGGGGGTGGGATAAAGAGAGATCGCAGAAATTTAGCAGGTGTCTGAGATTTAGCATCGGGATGACATCGAAGTTTGTGGGTGATGTAACCGAAGATAGATGTGAGCGACTTAAGGCATGGGTTATTATTGAAAATTGAGATGTTGCTGGTTTAATAAATTCAGCATGCTCACGATAGTCGCAAGTCTGGATACAAGACCAATGTCCTCTTCGCGGGTCCGCAGGATGATATTTCTATCCCCTGAAACGATACAAAGAAGTAAAACCTGGATGATGATTGGCTCAAGTGGCAGACCGGGAGCACCAGCGCGTATATGGGCGAGTAAAGAGGGCAGGAACAATGTGGAGCCAGGATATGGCAGATTGTCAGGATCAATGATTGTCACCATCAGAGACACGAGCCTGAGCGCCCTGCGACGTGTACGGGTAACGTGTTTAAAAGACACAGGATGATGGGTAAGCCCACCGGAAGACTCGGAAGGTCAAGTGACTTTTTTAAAAGTAGTTAACGTTGATATGGTGATTTAGACTCTTACTGCTCCAGGCAGGCAAAGCTCTCAGCTGGCCATACATACTGATCTCTTCACACACTGTGACATGATAATTGAGACTACTACCCGAGTCATCTTTTTTTTTAAATAGTAAGGCCCGTCCGGTTTTCATGAGACAGTCGAACGTCGAACGTTAACTCGCCCGGCGTTTGAAGTACAATTTGCAAACCGATTGAATGGTCACCGAGCCTGTTATCATTGCAATTGCCACCTGTTGTCCCTCAGCGCCATTTTCTTCTTATAACAGGCTCTCTTCGCACACCTGACTTCCCTTTCCGTCTTCCCTCATCGTAGCTCTGTCATCCATACCGATCATATGAATGGCAGGTAGCATATCCCAGTTCTACGTCGAGGACGATTCACCGGAGATTGTCTACTATCCGTTCGTAGACACGAGCCTCAGCCCAAATATTTCTGCAGGCTGGGAGCAGTTTTACTCGGTTTCAGGTGTTGCATCTTCTCCGGGTCAGGGTGGTGAAGGATATGGCCAACACACTACCAGCCTCAATGAGGCAAGCTTTATGATTAAATGGAACGGTAAGCACAGCTCTCACCAATCAACATCAAAACCATAAACTAGGTTGCTCATCGTTTACCCAGGCACTGGTATTGATCTCCTGGGGAGTGTCCAAAATGCATCTTATCAAATAACCTTGGACGGAATCGACATCTCTCCCAATACATCTAACCCGGAATCCATCCTTGCTTCCCTTCACGATTTAACCAACACGAATCACACAATGCTGTTAACGACTCTCACGAACCAAACGATTTCAGATTCATATGTATTTTTTGACAAGGCTCTCATCACCTATACAGCCCCCCCTGGCATTGTCAAGTGAGTTCTTTCCGCGATAGCCAGGGCGCTGATCTACGCTATTAGCGTGCTGATAATATTATTTTCAGCTCAACGGCTAACTCGACGACCATCGATGACGATAACGACGTTACATTTGTGGGTAGATGGAGTTATGTGACTGACAGCTCGGGAAATTCTATGCATATATCCAACACTGCCGGTGACCATGCTCAGACCACATTCATAGGCACGTGCTACTTCTATTATTTGTTAGTTATGTTGAACTTATATTGTTCCTGATTCGATTTCCGAAGGATCGGCCTTAACTGTCTACGGCCTCGTGTCTTCGTATTCTGGAAATTATTCTGTCACACTCGATAACATCACCACTAGCTTCTCAGCTTTATCCTCTTATAATAATTCAAATGCGTTGCTGTTGTTCGCTACCGATTTGTCTCAAGATACCATTCATACAATTGTCCTCACCAACACTCAGAACACAACATTTGCTATGAAAGTTGGTGGGATGAACGTCACCAACTTCGGCAATGCCACTGTGTGCGCCGTTTTCTTCCACAGACTGTTGTTTCAGATGCTGATCGATTCATTAGAGATACCGCCGTCTTGTCCTCATCAAGCAACTCGACTTACGCCGGGACCATTGCCGCTATTGTGCTCGGTGCTGTTCTGGTGATCCTCATAGCAGGTATCCTCATGTACTGGCTATTTGCTGTTCGCGCACGCGCTCGTTGCAGGCAGAAATTGAGCCGCTCGCGCTCCAAGAAAATGATGGACCCAGAACATGTCATTGACATCAGCCCTCCAGGCGAAGAAGAGACCGAAGTGGCAAGCTTAAGTACCAGCAAAGGGTATGGATTCGGACTTGGCCTGCAACGCACCTTCCCCTTTGTCCGCAAAACGAAAAGCGGGGGCAGTAGCAGCGGCCACGTTGACAATACACGCTCGCGTTCCGTGTCCCACGTTGCAATTTCGCCTGAGGAGCGAGACGTCGACAAGCGCTTCTCGACCAACACCCTCACCATGGAGTTCACTGCCTTGGGTTTTCCGCCGGAATCTGAGAAACTAGCGCCAGGCTGGAGTAATCCTATCGCACGCACGTCGTTTGGTTCCATGGGAAAAGGTCATACACGAGTAGGAAGCCACAGATTGGCGCTTCCGGAACTGTGTGTGGAAGGGGTGGGCGTAGACGACGTGTACGATGATGACGATGCAGATGCCAAGACCCTTACGTCACGGCAAGATGAAACGCTTGCCGCAACGCTTTCTCTTAGCCCGCGAACGTCGGAAGCGCCAGGTGTCTTCGTTCCCGCCGTACGCTCAATTGCGGAGATTGAGTGCGCGATAACGGAGAATGATGACGGGGAGTCCTCCTTACCATCTCGGCCTGTCTCACGGTTTCTGGAAGTGAGAGAGACCACCCCGTTTAGAGTAGACATTGGAGCTATTCTCGGTCAGCTCAGGGGACGTCAGGACTCACGACGGACGAGTGTGAGCGGGAATAGTAGTTGGTCTCGGGTTTGTGCCAGACTCTACCGAAAAGCTCACAGAGATGACGGGAAGCAGAGCGTCCACGAGGACAAGTCTGAGAACCCCAGCCCTGAGTCGGTCCCGGTCGTTATGCTCCAATCAGGATCGGGATCAGAGCCGCCTCCAAGCGAGGACGCGCCTGCCTCAGGCACTTACTCCTTCCTCGACTTTAGTTCGTCGTATTCATCATCACGTCGGCAATCGAAGTCCACCACGCTAAACTCAGCCGCAGCCGAATTGGGGCACAGCGGAGTCCGTACGCCATGGAGCGATAGCACGTCCATGCGGATGGTGCGCATCGAACGCGATAAACCTGAGGACGCAATGCATTCCGGACCTGATGCACCTTCTACTGTGTCTCAGGGATCTCACAACGAAAGTCCTTCCGATAAATCTAATGCTCATTCTTCGCCGTCTGGACATGCTACACACACTACTCACGGATCCTCGTTTCCCTTCCCTATTACTATTCCGCCTTCAACGCACATGCCGCACCCCTTTAATATCGACTACCAGCGCGAAAGCGAGCACGTGGAACTTCAACCTTTCCCACCTCCTCGTCCACCATCACCTCCCGTACCCCGGCAAGCGCAGGCTACAGAACCTCGACATTCAGGTCTCCCATCAGATGCAAACTCTCCCACCTCTCCCACCTCTCCCACAGAGAGTGTGCCCTTCTCTGTATCCGACGTCCATTTCCGACATAGTCGCTCTGATTACACTGACATTGACTCGCGGAGAGAAAGCGCAGCCTCCACCCTACCTCCACATCCACCTCTCCCTAGCTCGCAGCCAAACACTCCACCGCCGTACATTGTGCAGCGTGTACTCGGAATGACGCCCGTTACTCCACAGTTTCCTGCGACTCGTCTTGCGGCAGGTCCTGCAAGCCATACGTCATCAATAATTGCGGAGCGGGTATTCCGACCTGGAACATCCCCTCTTGGATCTTCCCCCAGAGCTCCTTATCGGGTGGGCTCGTTGATTGGTCCTAGACCTCGGCCTTCGACATCTGGATCACTACACTTGCGACTACCTTTACAAGGCTCATGGAGCCGTGACAAAAGAAGCAATGATCAGTAATAGGCTGTCATCTTTCCCGGGATAACTTCAATGATGACGATTTCTTGGACGATATATCTCATGCTTCTTTCATTTACCCATTGATTGGAGATACCCCATTTTGCACTGATTACGCTCTGGCCTCACAGACCGATCTCGTTGTCACTCCCTTTGGGTTATCATTCACGCATTTGTACCCTACTACTGCAATTTTTTTTCACGATTGCATTTTTTGTTTTCCGTGGTGATGAGCATATTTCCGCCGGACTAAGTACAAAGTGTTGGAAGTCAGGAAGTCAGGAAGTCGGTAAGGTCTCCGATCGCCGCAAACCGAAAGTGACAAATCGCCTGATGTCAAAGACTTCTCGCTTCTGCCCCGGTTCCAGCCCTCTGGAAGTACTTCCATCGGTGCTTGATCCCGTGGGTGGTCCACTCAAGGGCGGAGACCCAAGTGATCCAAATATACTGTCCGATCCAATGCCCGGCGTGGTTGACAGCGGAAGGGTGACTCGGCTAGAGCTCGGACTACCGAATGTCGCACCGAGTGTCAAGGGGGGATCCATGTCGAGGGCAGAAAGAAATGATGTACTGTCGAGATCCGTCTTAGTGCTCGTAATGGTGAGGAATGAATCAAGAAGGCTGTTCTGTCCGGTCTTCGGTGTACCTTTCAAATCGAGTATCTAGTAATTGCATAGCATTAATGAACGAAATGCAGCCAAAAAAAATGAAGGTGGTCTAACCTTTTGAAAATTTGAAAATGAAGCATCGCCAATGAGAAGAGTATAGTTTAGAATGAAACCTTCCGGAGGGTCCTGACATTTTTGTAAGTGACGGAACGTGCATGAGAGAAAAGGTAGTTACCACTGGTGTCACAATAACCTTGAGCAGAGCCTCGAGCCTCGTTGTGCTTTTCGTAAGGCTGCGGGTATATCTATGCAACAAATTCATGAGCTAACCTTTCTCAAGATACCGGGTGCCATTCTTACCCCTGCGTTACTACTGCTTCTCCTGGCAGTCGTATTAGGAAAGATTTAACAACACCCAGGTCGATCAGCAACTGCGATATTTTGGATTAGGTCAAAGAAGAGCAAACCAATCAACTACCAACGTACTTGCTCTCCACCAATTTCTCTCAAAGGTCGGCTCTTCACTGCTGCATTGGTAAATTTCGTCAAGACAAGACTGTTGGCCAATTATTAGCATTTCTCCCCACATGGAGTGACAAGACCAACCTGCATGCCTTGTCGAAGAAATTCCTCAGGTACTTCTTCTGTTCGATCAACGGCTTTATAATATCGCAAAAGCTCTCGACAGCCCGGGCAAGATCATCCACATATGAAGACTGTCCAGTGACCTGGTTCAGCTTCTCCCACGACATACGGGACATCGTGGTGAAAGCACCCTCACAAGCGGCCTCCAATTCTCGTAGAAGAGTCGTGATAGAGACGGAAATAGCGCTGGCTTCGCATTAGCGATCAGAGATTGACAATAAAATAACAAGAATACATCATGAACAAGTCACGTTCTGCCTGCAATGTCACTCTCTCTTTGAAGTCATCCTGGATCTTCTC